TGTAATTTAATATTGCTTTAGTCTGAAGATTTGAGTATATTTGGAATGAAGAAATCAAAAGAACGTTTGCTTGCTGCTGAATGTGGAGCTAATCGTGCAATGTTGAATTAACAGAATAGAATGCTTTTATTTTACAGCACAATGCTAAATCTCTTAGTTTTAGTCAAAACAGTTTCTTCAAGTTTGACCATTTGAGCTAAATTGTTTCCTTCCTTTTTTCCTCCAATTTTAGATACATTATTTTTCACTTAATTGTTTAATTTTGCTTCCCCTGTTGAGGATTTTTGTTTTATTTTTGTATACCCATTTTTTTATGATGACTAGATTCCCCGGTCTTTTAGCACCCTAGCTGTGTTGCCGCTTATAAAGCTGTCTTATTAAATTAGATATGTCCAAGAACTGAATTTTTCCCTTTGTTAAATAACTGAGGAAAGAATAAGGCACAGGATTTAATTAGTCGATCAAAAAGATACCTCCAGAGACAGTTGCCGGATGCCGGCATACGTACTGTGACCAAAATTTCATTTGGCACTCAATAGAGTTTTAAAGAGCCCGTGGACTTAAATATCATGAAAATTTTGGAGAGTGAAGAGCAATTAGATCCTCTTTTTAGTTGGTCTGCTACATCTTGGCTAAATTTGCCATGAACGTTTCCGCATTACTTACTCTTACGGCTATCTCACTTTTTGGGTGGTCGTATATTGATACTTGCCATGCATTCTCGATCAAAGAAGCTAGCATTAGTGATCTTCAGCTTGCTTTTATCCAAAACCAGCTTACATCGAGACAGCTCGTGGAGTTCTACCTAGGAGAAATTTCACGGCTAAATTCCGTTCTCAAAAGTGTCATTGAGGTAACTATGTTGAAATGTATAATCATCTCATATAAAAATACAGTCTTATTTACTTAATTATGTCTTTAACAGCTAAATCCCGATGCACTCCTGGAAGCTGACAGGGCTGACAGAGAGAGGAACGATGCAAAGGAGTCAGCAAGCTCTTTGTCAATGTTGCATGGTGTTCCAATCCTTCTTAAAGATAACATTGCAACAAAAGATAAGCTTAACACTACAGCTGGATCATTTTCATTACTGGGATCAGTGGTGCCCCGTGACGCAGATGTAGTGAAAAAACTGAGAAGAGCAGGTGTGATTGTACTAGGGAAAGCTAGCCTCAGCGAATGGGCTCACACTCGGGCGCTAAAGGCGCCCAATGGCTGGAGTCCTAGAGGTGGACAGGGAAGGGTAAGTTATATATGTCAAAACGGAAGCTTAAGAAAATACTTCAGAACAGTAACACCACTGAAAACCAGTCTATGCTCGCAAAATTATGCAATGTACTAATGAGGTACACCACTTTTTTGAACTCCTATGCAGAATCCTTATGTTCTCTCCGCAGACCCTTGTGGCTCGAGTAGTGGATCTGCAATATCAGTGGCAGCAAACATGGTATCTGTGTCATTAGGTACAGAGACCCGTGGTTCCATCTTATGCCCGGCCAGCTCAAATGCAGTTGTAGGCATCAAACCAACCGTTGGACTCACTAGCCGAGCAGGGGTGATCCCAGTTACACCTAGACAAGACACTGTTGGGTAAAACATGTTCTAAATCCACATACATTGATTTGATACTTCTTCTGAGTCAAACCAATGCAACACTAACTTGTCATATGCTTTGTTTGAACAGACCAATTGGCAGAACAGTAACAGATGCTGTTCATGTTCTTGATGCCATTGTAGGCTTTGACCACAATGACGCAGCTGCAACTGCTGCAGCAGCTAAATTCATTCCTCATGGTGGTTATACTCGATTTCTGAAAGTAGATGGCCTTAATGGCAAGCGCATTGGAATAGTGAGAGACCCCTTCTTCAATTTCACTAATAATCCTGCCCTCGCTCAAGCTTTTGAGAAACATCTCCAAACACTCAGGTAACTTAGCTAGTTGTTCTGAAGATATCATTGTTTGTTAAAAATGCATCTCTGCTTATTTTAACATCATGTTGGAGTGTGAAGACCATTTTGCTTAACAGATCTTTATAGATTCAGACAATTTCCTGTTTTTCTCAAATGCAGGCTACAAGGTGCAGTCTTGGTAGACAATGTGAAGATAGCCAACCTTGAGACAATTTTAGACTTCAATCTGAGTGGTGAAGCATCAGCAGTATTGGCTGAATTCAAGATAGCCTTAAATGTTTATCTAAAAGAGCTAATCGATTCCCCTGTTCGATCCTTATCAGATATAATAATCTTCAATCGAAAAAATCCCCAACTGGTATGTTATTCATGACCAAGCAATCTACAAGAATGAGTAGATTTCACCGGGTTAATATCACTAGTGATCATCAAACTAAGTGTCTATTTCACGAAAGTCACTCAACTTGTATTTGTCATTTCAGGAGATGCTAAAGGAATTTGGTCAAGATATATTTTTGGCAGCTGAATCTACAAATGGAATTGGAGAAACAGAAATAAAAGCTTTGAGGAATTTATCAAGATTAACAAGAAGTGGATTTGTAAAGTTGATGAATAAGTATGAGTTGGATGCATTGGTGACTGCTGGCTCTAGTGTTGCTGCAGTTCTTTCAATAGGTGGATTTCCAGCAATTAGTGTGCCAGCTGCTTATGACAAAAGGGTGCCTATTGGCATTTGTTTTAGTGGGTTGAAAGGTTCAGAGCCTAAGTTAATTGAAATCGCCTATGGCTTTGAACAAGCAACTCTAATTAGAAAGCCTCCTACATTTTTGCCCTAAAAATGTACTATTATTAAAAAAATGTGTGTTACATTTGTTTTGTTGTGTGTACTTCTTATTTGAAATTTACCGATCCATGTAACTCAATCTTAAGAGCAAAAAGAAAATCGAATTTGAATAATTGATGTTCGACAAAATCAAAAAGATATTTAATTTCTTTTCTAGATTTGCCCTTAAACATATTCATAATTCGATAAATATAGTAGTACTTAATAATAAACATGTCAATCTAAAAAGAAAAAAAAAAGATCATAATTGAAGAGTATTTTTTGCCATCACCTTTAATGACGGTTGATTTTGGATGCTTTAATTGTGCAATGGGGTAAGTGAATAAATTGATATAGAACTAATAAACAGAGACGTTATGATTCGTCAAATTATCAAATCAGACCCCTCAGGACCAATACCTATCATGATTATAATGGAAAAGGACAAAATCTAATTTTGAAAAAATAAAGTAGAATTTGAACAAACACTTACTTTCGTCCAATTTTTGTGATGGCAATTGATGCCTAACTAAGTATAAAACTGTAGTTTTGAAATGCAAAATTTTTCTATATAATTCGATCTGTGTATACAAATAAATTGCATCATATAAATTGAGACAGAAAAAATAAGTTTTAATTTCTTTGTTTGTTGTTCTAAAGAAAAAAGTACCAATTAATTTAATTTAACAATTAAATAAATTAATGGAGGCAATAAGGATCAATAATTCATCACAACTGAAAATGAGTCAAGAGGGATCATGTTTTTATGCAGTAATACTAATTTTGCCTAAAATCATGCTCTTGCGTCTGAAGTTGGAACTCTGGTAAGTTTCGTTAATTTCTGAGTAGGAGACACCCTCGTGGTTGGTCTGTCATTTCAATTGCTGTTGAGTTTTTGATGCTTTTGTTGACGTCCACACTTATAATATATAGTAGTTAAGGGGTAAGTAAACTTGATTAACTAAACAGACACAATTACCAACTCTTGTTTTTCGGTTCTTTTAACCAGTTTGTGCGCATTTTACCTAATTTCATATGATAATATATATTATTTCAACTTTTCTCATTAATGCTAGAACAAATAATAAGAAATTATCAAGTGTTTTGTTGTTGTTGGGATTTGAATTTGAAATTTCACAGTGCTCAACTTACTTCATTAATCTCCAAGTCACACCACAAAACATCAAGCTCACACACACTTATCACAAATAAAAAAATCTTATTGGTCCAGAGTAGTCTGATTCTGATGAAATGGTTCGACGTAGACATTTTACAATATAAATAGAATAAGAAAATCCTAAAATATTAACCTATTTTCTCCAACCTGCTCCTATGTTCAGAGGCGTAGCTTTGGCTAGGGTGTTCGATTGGACATTTTTCGTCAGAAAATTACATCGCATTTATAAAAAGATAATAATTTAAATAGTTAAATAACATATTTTAAATATTCTTGAAAAATAAAAAAAGAAAATTAGCTTAGTAATTTTAATTATTCAATTCTTACTAAGTTCTTTGCGACTTGCAGTGCACGATTTTGATTCCCGTTATTTGACTTTGATTTTTTTCTTTTCATTAAAAATTTAAAAGAATTATCTAATTTAAAGTTAATAAGAAAATTCTATTTATTTATTTCATTAAGCTACTAAAAGTGAATACTTTATATAAATTCTCTTTTAATATAACATGTTTGATTCTATTATTTATTTTTCATTTTTCGTTGTTAGTCATCAGAGGTTTATGAAATGTTGAAGCATAAAAGTGATTTTACTCTAAAATGAAATATCTCTCTTTTTCTTTATTTGTTCACTTTCTATTAATAAACGTGACACAAAAGCTAAATATTATGTAGTTTGATTTTAAAAAAAATTTGGTACACTTTAATTAAAAAAATTAATCGTTAATATTATGTAATTTGATTTACAAAATTTAAGTACACCCATTCTTTAAATTATTTTTACGAGCTATGAGATTTTTGAACACCCTTTCTAAAATTTCTGGCTACATCATTGGCTATCTATATTGTTGAAACTCTTCGAAAAACTACACCTATTTTCGTTAGGACAAACGTTGCACGATTTAATGTTGTACGACTGCAAAATCTTTACTTGACTTTATGCTCATTACTGAAAACTCTATAATTTATTTATTTTCTCAATAATTCAACAAAAACTGTACCAACTTTTATGTGGGGCTAGATTAGTTAGTAATGTAGCTTGCTTAATTTGTTTACATGCCAAAGATTCATTTATATCTAATCTCCTTAATTTTACTTATAAATAGCACTATCCCTCAACTTATTTGATTTAATTGTGTAGCAACAGCCAGCAAGTCCTTAGCATAACTCATATCTGGATCTTGCTCTCACGTATTTTTTCCGCAAGTCATCACGAGATAGATCATGAAAAAAATTATTTTGCTTGTCATATTTGCGAACCTATTTATATGGGTGGCTCAAGCACAAGACCAAACGTCATGGGCTAAGAGAGTTGATACAGGCAAAGAGGTTGTTACAACTCTTCAATTCTACTTCCACGATAAACTCAGTGGATCAAACCCGAGTGCGGTTCAAATTGCACAAGCTGCTAGGACTAACAATTCGGGTACCTTATTTGGATCTTTGTTGATGATTGATGATCCACTTACTATTGGACCTGACCCAACTTCAAAGCTAATAGGTAGAGCCCGTGGACTATATGGGTCTGCTGGTCAAACTGATATGGGCCTTATCATGGCAATTAGTTATGGGTTCTTGGATGGTATCTATCAAGGGAGTTCATTTAGCCTATTGAGTTTGAACCCGGTAATGAACCCGGTTCGTGAGATGGCTATCGTTGGTGGGACCGGACTTTTTCGGTTGGCCCGTGGGTATGCTCTTGCTCAAACGTATTCGGCAAATCCTAATGGTGATGCAATTGTTGGCTACAATGTTACAATTGTCACATATGTTTGATTTTTTTTTTTCTTATATTTTTGTGAGCATCTTTTTAGTTCTATGTTATTCAGGCAACTTAAATATTTCATTCTCGAGTTTATAGTAATGTAACATGCCGAAAAAGATGAAATCGTTGACTTTGTGTTAATAGATGGAAAACAAGCAATTGCATCTAGAAAGAAAAAGAAAAAGACAATTTCTTGTAAAAGAGTAAATTTAATTCTGCAATAGAATGTTTTACCCTCGACAAAATGAATTTAAGAAATCTGTCCATTTATTATTTACGTATAGTTTAATAAGATCATTTACAGAAATATACAAGTTGAACAAAGTTTTTTTTTATATTAAAAAAGAACTCTATTAAATCAAAGTGGGTCAGTTTTTTTATTAAAAAAAAAACAAAAACAGATAAGAGCAATAAAAGTCATCGGCTATTAGTGGAGATTTGTAGTTGAAGCCAAGTTGCTTCAAGTATTCTTTATATATCTTTGTTTCTTTCCAAATTCTTATCAATTCTTACAAATAAGAGAGAAATGGAGAAGCATTTAGTCATTGGATTAATAAGCTTGTTAATACTACTAACAATTGCCACAGCAGATAAAAGCCCAAAAGCAGTAGAAAAATGGTTCAAAAATCTCCCTTATGCAAAGACCAAAACCACCAAATTTCACTTCTACTTTCATGAAATTTTTGGAGGAGATAACCAAACAGCTCCTATAATTGCTCAAGCCAACACTACAGCTCAATCACCTACATTCTTTGGCATGTTGAGAATGTTCGACAACCCGTTGACTGTTGGGCCGGATCCTAATTCGAAACAAGTGGGCCGAGCCCAGGGAATCCATGGATCTCCATCATTGAGTGAGTTGGCCTTATTTTTCGACTTCAATTTTGTGTTCACTGATGGGCCTTATAATGGTACCACTTTGAGTGTGATGGGCCGGGTCGCTGAATCGCAAGAATACAGAGAATTGTCGATTATTGGTGGATCTGGAATTTTCCGGCTTGCTAACGGTGTTGCTACTGCGAAGACTTATTTTTCTAATGATAGCCTTGTTATTGTCGAGTATAATCTTATAATAATTCATTATTGAATTGTTGTTTCGATGTAAAAGTCAACTTAGTTTATTGATTGCGTGTTTGATGGTATTTTACTTTCTCCATTTCAATTTATTCATGTAAGCACAAAGTTTTGAAAAAGCAGATATAGTTTTTGAATGTTGTAATTTTAGATTAAAGACATGGGTATTAATATACCAAAACACTATCAATCTTCCATCACCGTGCTAACCAATGGTTCAAGTAGTAGTCAACTAGTCGATATGGATGAGTCGATCAGCACAATGATAAAAGGTAATTTCTACACTAATCGAAATAGATGTCCGTTGAGGATCACATGGATTCGCAGGAAACAAAAGGATCAAAATAATTATTAATCGATTTCAGCAATACTTCCACCAATCAAATAAAGATAAAGACCATTTTTATGGGCAATGGGAAATTGAGGGCCACCATGTTTGGTAAAGAGACTGCAGAAGATCATGATTCTGCTTTGTCTCTTCCACTTGGCCTTTATGTTTTGTTTATAAACATACAAGCACAAGCCATAAGAATATCGTAAAGCATATCAAGACTAAGGGAAAAGTTAACAAAGATAGCACTACCGGACAAATACAAAAGTGCAGTTAGATATATCTGGGGAAAAGAAGACCACAGAACGGCACTTGCTACTTGCTATAATGTTAAACCCATTTTTCATCATCAACATTAAAAACCTAATTAAACAAGACTTAAAGTTTCGGTCTAGGAGGATATAACCAGAAAGAGTTAACAAGCAAAGCCATTATGGTAATAAACAAAATTGGAAATTTAAGACGAGCGTAAGCTAAACTCTTCTTAGGTTGCAATGGCATGCCTTTGGATGATCTGAAAACCACTTTTCCTAGCGAAGCCAGAGACAATGCAAGTCATTCCTTTCTTCACAAGAAAATAAAATTGCATCTGCACATTGATAGTTTATATCAACAATGGAAGTTGTCAACATGGAAACAACATGCCACCTTGCAAACAACTTGGAATCAAATATACAGCTAAAGCTGAAATACACAGCAATTTGATCTGAACTACTGCTTCCTCCTATGCTAGAACTGGAAACCTAATTAATTGCATAATTAAAGAAGGGTCAAATGAAAAATATAACAGCAATATGGCTGTTAATTGGGAAGCATCATTTAGATAACAAGATCACTTTTCCTTAAACACAACGCAAATAATACTTCAAAACCATAGGAACATTTTCCAGTAAATAATAAACTTCATATAAAGCAATCCAGATCTCACTCCAATTAGATGAACACTCAGTTGTCTAATTGTTCAGCATTACTAGATGCAGACCTGAATTAGCTGGTGCGAAGAAAAACAAAATGGTAGTACAACCCTGCAGCATTACTAATCGGAATTGGGCTTGATCAATTGAAAGCAAATTATTTGCATACTTTGCATGCCCACAAAGAACGTCTGCCCATTGCACAGTCATTTGATACAGGTATATCTATAAGACAAGTTGTTTTACAATCAACTCCACTAGGTACTAGTCTTAACCACAGTAGGACAAATTTTTAGGTAACTGATAGAATTCTAAATATCAATTTCACCATTCTCCAACATAGAATAAGACATTTGAGCGAATATTTGAACAGTAGAATTTATCCACCATCAATACAGAGGTTCTTCATCAGATTGGAAAAGGATGTTTCTAGACAGGAACATAAAAAATGCTTTCAACTTTTGGCATCCATTCTTTCTATATATAATTGTCACCAGAGGTTATGGACATGAGAGTAGAAATTTTTTAATAGATCACGTCATGCACTATTATGGGAAGAAACAGGTAAAAGGGTTTTTCCATCTTCTCCCCCTTCTAAATTTTCTTTATTGCATAGAACTTTTTCCAGCATCATTATCTTGATGCACCTAAGGTTTCTTTACCAAAGATTATAATCAATCAGTGTGTGAAGGCGAAGTATAAAGTCAAAATACATATACGATGCAAGTACAAGACTACAAATGGAATTTAACAAGAACTATTGCAGATCCCAGTTGAGAAACTATGCAAACAGATGGAAATAACCCAAAAGCTATTGAAACTAGAAAGCGGTACCACTGTCATGGAAGAAAATAACTATCATACCAACAAAATAGCGAATTTTACCCATAAAAAAGAAAAACCACTTCATAAAATGCTCACAAGAAGTAACAGCATGCATTATATGGCTGAGAAAGAAACTAGGTAAAAAAAAAGTACTCACGTTCTGTGATGCCGATCAGCTAATGGCCACTAAGAAGTGATATGTAAGTCACTAAATGGTTGTATGGAGCGCTGTCTGGCCTTAGTTTCATCATCATCCATATTGTGCTGGTTGAGAGTAGCTAATCAGCTTTCTGACAAGTGGAATTAAGCTTATCAAAGCAATCTGAAGCTGTTCTGAGCTGTTCAAACGGATACTGACTTGTCCAGATCCTTTATTGTTAATGTTGACACGGCCAATCAAGTTTGTGTATCGTCCAATAGGTATCTGTGTTTGTGAATTGCATCCGATAGCAAGATCTCCATGCCAGTCCATAACCGAGAGGCCCAAGGTTGAGAGGAAACGACCAAGAGGATGGTCTTTGTCTCGCAATGTCGCTTCCAAACTACCACCATAAGCAGCATCACCACGGCCAAACATGGCTCCCCCAGACACAACCAAAGATCCCCGTCTATTAAAAGTTAACCTGTCCTCAATTTTCACCCCACCTGTCATGACGTCACCTAAGAGAGTTACTGAAAGACCAGCTGTCGCCTTATTCTTCCTATAATTGCAGAATCTGGTCTCACTGCGAAGAGTATAAGCTAGGTCTTTACCAACTGACTGCATATCAAAACCTAAAGAAGTTGCTTTTCCATGCCCATGCTTCACTGAACTTGCAATTTCCATTTGAAGATTGGTGTCCTTTTTGTCCTTTGAAACCTGACTGGACAGAGATATAGGGATCTTGTCTTTGACAACAAACAATCTTTCTACGTTGATGCCCTCATAACCAACATCATGGTCCCAGCCGTTGGGTTCTAGAACAGGCCTCACAAGCCACTGATTTGAAGAATCCAGATATCGATATCTATGAGTTGGATTATCAGAATCAAATGAAGCAGGTAACGCCAAGTCTGGCATGGGTACTGGCACTGATGATGCACCACCAGTCTCTTCATCTACATTTTCGCTGGGATCAGTTGGTGGTAAACTTTCAGCCGCAGCTTGCATTTTCTTCATCATCTTCCGCCTCTTCCTCTCTTCCTTCAACTGCTTTTTCATAAAAAGCTTTTCCCTGTATTCTAACTCATCATTGTAGGCCTTCTTCTGCTCTTTGGACAACTTTGCCAGCTGTGCTTTGGTCAAGCGCTTGAAAGGTGGCAGTTGATCATATTCTGATTCATCTTCTGACTCTGAAGACTCATCCAGATCATCATCTAAAGCGTCATCATCATCATCAAATTGCTCTGCTGGTAGTTTAACCTGTGGCCTTGACTGTAGAAGGGATGACAATAGGAAAGGTAAAGGAGGGGATCTTGTTCTAGTGGCATAAGGCTGTCCTGGTGCGCTACTATCTTGTAATTTAAGCAATGTGTTTGCTTCAGCCAAAATTTTTGATGCAAATGACAGAAGTAACAAGTGAGGCCTCCAAACCTGTCCATTAGGCAGCACCCTCTGTCCAGCCCTGTTAGTCCTGCATGCTGAGTGATTCTCAACTAGCGAAACAGGATTCATAAGGCGCATATCTCCAGCAGCCTGACGTATAGCTTGCTGGACAACATGAGAGCGCTGAGTTACAAACATGTCATAGCTTGTTACAGTACCATTGGGGCCTTCAGGTGGAGCAGACGCAGCATGTGTCAGAACAACTATGGCATTAAACCATATTGATGGTCCAAAAATTTCAGTAATTGTCCTCAACAATGGCATATCACCATTATCTCTGCTCTGCATATCCAACCTGTCAAGATACAGAACAATATCTGGGGGTGTCTTCTTAATAAACCGTTTGACAGAATGAAGGATCTTCTCATTCTGGCGCTGGTCTGACCAGGAAGGAAGAAGCCCAGGAGTGTCAATCACCCGAACCTTGATTCCCTGCACAGTGCCAACAACATCCTGAACCTTTTTTGTCCCTACCTGGAAAGCATCAGTGTCAAACTTAACTTCATCAAATATCGAATTTATGGTTGCACTTTTACCAACACCAGTTTTTCCAAGAACCATTATTGTGCAAGAGAAGTCCAGGGGTTCTTGTCCAGCTGCCTCGAGTTGCTCAGCCATAGCACTTGCACGATCAAAACTAAAAGCACCAACACGACCTCCACTTCTCCCCCGTAGCTGTTCAGCCAATCCCAATCTATACAAGACTTGGGCAACAACCACATTATGTGGAGTCTGTCCATTCCGATGAGCTAGACGCAAAAACTTGACTCTTATCATCTGGAGCTTCTCACGTGTCTCATCATATTCATCAGCCTCTCCATTTGTAGATTCTTCAACAAGCTGGTTTTGTACTGGAGATGCTGTTCCATTTACACGAGGCTGCTGAACCACTCGGGGAGCAGGTTCCAATAGTGGGGCAGCACGACCAAGGCCGGCAGGTGCCGGTATCCGAGTTGCAGATGCATTGGAAGATGATGGATGCTCCGTTGCAGATCTGGCTTCAGATTCCCTAACCCTAGGAACACTTTGCTTCAGGTCCTTTACAACAACTGACACCGGTTCCTTCTCTATGACTTTATCAACCGATTCCTTCTCTACAACTTTATCAACTCCAACAACTGCATCTTGAGAAACCTTCGAGACCTTTTCATTATTGTCAGAGGGCAATGCTTCTGATGATTTAGACATTTCATCATCTGCAGTCACTTTACCCCTAACTGAAATTCCGGAATGGTTCAAAGAAGCTGAAGAGTCAGAAACCGAAACATCTTTCTGCTCATTGGTCCTGTCATTCAAATTTCCTGGTTCCATAGTAGGGGACTCATTTAATTTCAGTCCTTGATGATCAGAAGCATCACCCATTAGTTCTGGACCAGTTGATTCTTTTTCTGTCACTTCTGCCTTTAAGGGGAAGTGACCTCCTTGTAGAATAGAAACAGAGTCGTTGTCTTGATCATCTATCTGCTGTTCATCCTTATTAGTACAGTTAATTGGTTCTGGACTACACACGGCCTTTTCTCCATCTAACTGCTGCCCTTCAACTTTATTACTACCGTTGACTGGTTCTGGACTAATGGCTTTTACTCCATCTATCTGCTGCTCTTCATCCTTATTACTTCCATTAACGGGTTCTGGACTATGCACTGCTTTTACTCCATCTATCTGCTGCTCCTCATCCTTGTTACTACCGTTAACTAGTTCTGGACTAGGCACTGTTCTTTCTACATCTCTCTGCTCTTCATTCATATTATAACCGTTAATCCTTTCTGGACTAGGCCCTGCTTCTTCTTTGAGTTCATCACTTGGGTTCAAGCTTTCACTGTGGTGACCATTTGTGGAAGCATCATTAGGAGAAATATCTTTCTGCTCTTCATCCTTAACATCAGAATCCAGAGATTTAAGCACTCCTTCCCATTCGGTATCTCCTTCATCTTTCAGCACAGAGCCAGAACTATCTGAGACATTGTTGTGGACGTCAGCAGTGTCCTGATGTCCAGCAGGCTGAACAGCAGATGTTTCAATGACATCAACATTATCTTCATCATGCAGCAATGCATCTTTGTATGAATGAACCTGGTTCTGCAGAACATTATTACCCGCTTTCGCTTCATCGGCATCCTGTTGATCAGAAATTGTTTTCTTTGCATCATCACTTTGAGTTTCTCCCAAGTTCACATGATTGAAAACTCCATTCTCAAATTCAGTTGGTTCGCCAGAATTATCTTTCCTTTCATCCCAATTCACTGAAGTTTCAGTTTCTATAGCAGCACCCAGATCTGCAACCTCAGACATGTCATCTTTGCCCTTCCCTACTTTGATATTCTTCTCAACCACTTCTGTTTCATCCGGTGCAGCGATTTCATGACAACTTTCCTTCTCAACTGAAGGCTCCTCTTTCAAGATAACATCTGTCTTCTGATTAGACTCATCATTGGCATGCTGTATCTCATGTAAAACTTCAACTGCTTCCTCAAAGTTCTCAACATTGTCCCTTGACTCAGAGTTGCTACTGTCCTCAATAGAACTATTAATATCCCCAGAGTTATCATCATTTCTTCCCTCACTAGCAACTACATCCTCAACAGCAAAACCAGGAGATTCTGGCTCTATTGCCTCCTCAAATACTTCATCCCCTTCCGATTCCTTTGATACATGTGACACCACAACTACCTTATCCTCCGGGCGCACTTCAACAGTTTCATCTACTACACCATTCCAGTCGTCCATTCGGGCCTTGCCAAATCTTTCCTCCCCATTTTCCATCATAAATAAACTTCAACAGAACCTAGATCAACATCAAACAGAATTATAATCACAAAAAGTTAACAGTAAAATAAAACCAAATCACAAAACTATCCGCAGTAAACAAAAATCAAGAAATAAAAGCTACCACCCGAAAGACCAAATTAGCTATTCCGACGCATAAAGCAATACAGACTGATAAAACTCCATCAACTACTGTAAAATTTTAAAATAGAGCTTAGAATACCCAAAAGAACCTTTTTTCAAGGATTACAAATCAGCAGCAAACAACAATCAAGGCGAAAAATCCAAGCATCCAAAGGACAACATTATCTATTAGTACCCATAAACCAACCAAAAGAATTAAAACTCAATAAACCATATCAAACGAGATCTTACAATAGCTTAGACTACAAATCAGTATTCTCTTCAATTCTAATCAAACGAACTAAAACCCAATTAACCATAGTAAAATGAGATCTCACAATAACTTAAACTATACGTCTAGAATTAAATGTCCGCACCATGAGTGAAGCCAAAAATAAACCCTAGCACCCAAAAAATCACATTATCTCGTCGGACCCGTATAGCAAATCCAAAAAGACTAAAAACCCAGAAATTGAATCAACCACAGTTAAACAGCTCAGATAACTCATTTCTAAGAACTAAAAACCCCAGTAAGAATTTACTATAAAGGATACTAACAAAAACAGTATAAAACAACCAAAAGAAAAGCGAAAAGTACCAGTTTATGTCGACTACGATCCGTCCACGTCGATTACGATGACGATGATGATGAAGATGGTGAAAGAAAAAAAAGGTGTTTGTTAAGATTGGTGAAAAGAGAGGATCTTCGTTGTGGTTACCTCAATATCTGGAGAGGCGAAAAAAAGGAAAAAGAAGAGCAGTAGGTGAAGTTTTGAGAGGATAAGGGGTTTATCGACGGATTCAGAGGGTTAAGGGATTTCAGATCCAACGGTCATAAACATGCCCTCCTCCCAAAAATCACACTCTATTTCTTTATTTATCACGTGTTCTTCTCTATCACTATTTCATTTCTTTCTTCCTTTTCATTTAATATCAAATTTAAATTAATAATAAATAAAAAATCTGTATGGCAAAAAAATATTAATTAGATTCTTTTTATTATTTTATGATAAATGATTTTTATATATTCAAACTACATTTAGAGGCGTGGGTGGGGACTCTTAATAATAAACATAGAGACGGACAATAAATGATAGTAGTTCGTTATTTTACTATATTTTAGTTAAGATTGAGTTTGGTCAAATATCTAATAATTTGATAACATTCAAGTATTTGAATTTAGTTATAGTTAAGATTCAAGTTTTAAAATTTTGTTTTGAGCTAGTTTAATTTGTTGTAAAATTTATTTCAATATATATTTTTTATGGTCATTAACCACTTCATCAATTAGATTAGCATAATATATAGAACAATTTATTATAGATAATTACTTTAAATGATAGTACAACTTTTATACTATATTAATAATTTAATATACATAACCTACATCTTGTATATGTGGAGGCTTCATATAAACTAGATTAAACAATTGTTAAACACTAAATAGTGATACAATGATCTTTTGCAAATTTACTGATCATGCAACAGATGACAACCATTCGATAGATTATAAGAAAATACCATAATTCTTATTTTAAAAAAAAAAAAAGTTTTTGTTTATGTGCCACTTAATTCAGTTGAACTCCCTTTTTCTATTTTAAGTTTTTAACACACTCATTAAAGTAACCTAACTTTAAATATAGTTTAAGCATTATCTGTTCTTGATAAACTTGGCATACTTACATAGAAGCCTTTACCTTAAAGCCCGTTTAAACGAGAAATATGACCAATCCATAAAAATGGGCTTGGAAGCCCAAATGGAAACTGTTCTCTGGTTTACTCATATGTATGCATTAGTCATATACATTACAAAACTGTATCCATTTGTAAGTTATTGATTTTAAATTTCGAATCATTTCTAAGTTGAAATACATGTAAGGGTGACACTGGGGCGGGTGAGGCGAATTGGTTTTTTAAGCCGTAAAAATTTTAATCCGGTCTGTATAATATTTTTTTTTATTTTTCATTCCGTCTCACATAATTTTTATCATATTTTCTTTTTCTAGTTAAGTTTGACTATTAAAAATAAAATTCATACAAATAAATTTATTTTTCATTAAGTTTTTATTAATTTAATATGATAGCAATTTTTTAAAATTTATTTTTTAGACGTCAATTGATAAACATGTAAGAAATAGGAGTAATACTTTTGACGAACCATTTTCATCAACTATTTTGAATATTCTAGTAACTTTAAAGAAATTTTATTAATAAATATTGGTCCCACTTATAAAATGTAAAAAAAATAAAATTAAACTTGAACCTACATAAAATTATATAAACCTGGATCCCCGCCTCATATTAGTTTTTTGAGAAATCCACTTTAACCCACACCATCTCACCTGTCCCGTACGACCTTAAACCTATTCCGTCCCGTATAGCCTTAAAACCATCCTGTATGCATCTCCCCATTGTCACCCCTAAGTACATGTTTTTCCCATGATTAAGTTATTAACCATGTCTTGTTAAATTCATGAATCTTGTTTTTACCTGACATATCTCAATATATTATTAAGAAGTTTTTTTTTTTTTTATCATTTTTAAAATAATTATAAGTTTTATGTATTAATAATATGATACTATAAAAATCATAATTATACAACTGCAAACAACTTTATTTAACAACTCTGATTTGTGACCTATACTAAATGATACACACCATGTTATGATAAGTTAAAGTCACACTAATAATATAAGAAATTCAATATACTATAATTTTTTATGACTTAAATCTTTTCTTTTTAAAAAAGTGACAGATCATTTTCACCTGCTACACGTTTTAATACTTTTCATTTCAAATGTTACAATAATCACATTCAATGTTTTGATTAATATATCATTATGTGTTCATATTGGTTGTTGAAACTTCTTGTATAATTCTAAGTTGTCGCATATGCTTATTCGTCCTCGTTTGCCATTTGGAACATCATGACCAATCGAGGGTACTTTAGGTAATCAACCGAGATTCGATTAAATTTTCTTTATCTAATTATTTAAGAGAATATTTTTTTATATATATTTTTATATCATAATATTTCATAAGCTATATTTCACGTTTTAAAGAAACTTATGTCCTGCTATACTTAATTCTGTTTATTAAAAGTGAACGCATTTGAAGGACAGTTCCAATGAAGCAGGCCAATTTATATCTAACTAAATCAATTATCCAATTTAATATTTGTCCGAACAATACACGAGTATTTAAAATTAAAAATAGTTATTAGGAAGTTTCTTTATTTTTCGTAAGGCGTTATAATGCATATAAATATTAAACACAGAAAACTTAATTTTCTCCAACTACAAACGTGAGAAAACTTCTCAGAGAAAGAGAACTACTAAATTGCTTCTACTTCTTCTTTCTTTTGTGAAAAAATGGGTTCTTTTTTTTCTAAACAAGTGGAGAGAAGAAAATCAATTCATACTCAGAAAAAACTTTTGTATGATCTTAAGGAAAAAACTAGCAGTAACTTTCCTGGTTCTGATTATCGCTCAGATGATCGAAAAAATTGGATGTCAACACTGGCTCTGGAGAAACTTCAAGTGAACCAGATAATTTGGCCCGGTACCCATGATTCAGCAACAAACAAAATTGGAATCCCATTTATTTCTCGACCTTTTGCCCGAACACAATCTATGTCCATTTACAATCAGCTGGTAATGTTGAATTGTGTGATCTATCTTTTTAAAGTTTATTTACGTACAATTTTTATTTATTTGATTATATTTTTAACAGGTAACGGGCACTCGTGTCCTTGACATCAGAGTTCAAGAAGATAGTCGTGTCTGTCATGGCATCCTAGTTTCTTACCATGTCGACGTTGTGATCAACGATGTGAAGAAATTCTTATCTGAGACCCAATCAGAGATCATAATTCTGGAGATCCGAACAGAGTTTGGGCACGATGATCCACCGGAATTCGACACGTATTTAGAGAATCAATTGGGGGAATTTCTTATTCACCAAGACAACTCTGTTTTCAACAAGACAGTAGCAGAGTTATTGCCAAAAAGAGTAATATGTGTTTGGAAACCAAGAAAATCAGCTCAGCCAAAACATGGAAGTCCGTTGTGGAGCGCTGGGTATTTAAAGGACAATTGGATTGACACTGATTTGCCTGAAACAAAATTCGAGAGCAATATGAAGCATTTGAGTGAGCAACAACCGGTGACATCCCGGAAATATTTTTACAGAGTGGAGAATACGGTGACGCCTCAGGCGGATAATCCGGTGTTGTGTGTGAAACCGGTGACGAATCGGATTCGTCCATATGCGAGGTTGTTCATAAATGAGAGTATTTCTAGAGGTTATAGTGATCGGCTACAAATATATTCTACAGATTTTATTGATGAAGATTTTGTGGATGCTTGTATTGGACTTACAAATGCAAGGATTGAAGGCAAGCTTTGACGTGAATATGCATGCAGTACAAGGTGAATTTATGTGTTCTCTTTTGTGAATTATGTTGTTTGGTTCTGTTTTAATTATACTTGTTACTAGGTAAAATAATGTTTGCTTATGATTATATATGTCGTTAAATTGCGTGTAAATGAACTTATTGTAAGTTGTACTGAAATTCCACATTATTTGGAAGGATAAGAGTAACCAAAATTTTGATGAGAGAATTTATGATTTATCTTTAGTAGCTTTTGTTTGTTTGTACTAGTAGTTGATATACATGGTACATATAACACTATGTATCAGTATATATTTTCAACGTTTTTTTGAATAATCTCACTTAAATAAATCAATATCTGATTGTGTTAATATGTGTAAGATTCTAGAAAATGTAAAGTTGGATAAAAATGCTAGGTAAGCTAGCTATATAGCTTCACACCTTATTGAATTGGATCCCCAATGTTTTCAAGTAGTAAATTTATGTTGCACTACTTGAGGCATGGGAACCCAACCTATATATGCGTGAGTTCTATGTTGATATGATCGATCAGAGTACGAAGTTTAAAGGGTATAAAATCTTAGTAAAACTTTTAAAATGGTATATGAATATTTATTTTAACCAAAAGAACAAAATCACTAAAAGAGCAGCGATTTCGCTCGCCGAAAAAGCAAAATCGCTGCAATAGCAGCAATTTGCAAAATTTGATTGTTTTTATTTTTTTAAAAGAAATTGATTTATTTATTTATTTATTATTTGAAATTTAAAATAAAAGAGAAACTAAGAGCAAATCGCTGCAAGTGCAGCGATTTGTCTTCAATTTCTTTTTATATATTTTTTAAATCAAAATTTTTTAAAAAAAATTGATTACTATTTATTTTAAAAAATCATTAAAAAAAATTATCTTGGAATAAGTAGTAAAAAAATTAAAATTTTATTTTAAAAATTTTAAAATAAAATTTTATTTTTTAAAAAAATGATTTAAAAAAAAATTTGGAGTTGCAGCGATTTGCTATTAATTTCTTTTTTTCTTTTAAATTTCAAATAAATAATTAAATAAAATTAAAGAAATCGCTTCTTAGGCAGCGATTTATTAAAAAACCATTAAAAAAAATATTTTGGAAATCGCTGTCAAGGCAACAATTTCTTTTTTTAAAAAAAATTTAATCAAATTTTGCAAATCGCTGCTATTGCAGCGATTTTACTTTTTTCGCCGAGCGAAATTGCTACTCTTTCAGCGATTTTTCACTTTTGATTAAAATAAAAATTCATATACCATTTTGAAATTTTTGTTAACATTTTATACCCAAAGGGTCCAGACTTATCAACCAGTTAACAATCGATCATTTTATCATTAATCCATTAAGATAGAATATAGTTAACAAAAAAATAGAGCTTCAGAGGGTGAATTGAATCTACTACGCTAGCTTAAGTTGCAGTTCATATGAATCTAGATACTTGATTGCATCAATGTCTATAAGATAACGGAAATTTTCAAATTGGATAAAAATGGTAGCTAGTTAACCATCTTATTGAATTGGACCTCTAATGCTGTCAAGTAGTATATTTATGTAGCACTACTTAGATGCATGGGAACTCAACTATTCCTGAGTTTATGTTAATAGTATCATTCAACTAATAAGGATGAAGTGGTAATAGAAAAAGGCAATAATTAAAATAAAATTACTTTAAGCAAGAGTATCTGAATTAAAGAAATATTTGGCACATGTTTTTAGTAATGTTAACGAAGAGAAAATGTTGTCTAAAATGATTTCTTAATGGTACTTTTATCGAATTCGATTCTTTAACTATACACTTTACCTATTTTAGTTCTTTAAATAATAATTAAAAAAAAAACTCATGAGTTGTATTTCCCTATTAACGAAGAATGCATCTACAGTGATGTTTGGCTAATTTCCTTGAGCCCAAGACGTATACACCCCATATACATATTAAATAGTACTGTGATTTATCATGTATGTGGATAATTTGATTGATTATTTGATTGCACGGGACTCATAGGCATTTCTTCACAATCTATCCCTCCTTACTAATTAGGGACGTGAAATGAGCGAGTAATCTGTTTAAAAGTTTATGAATTGATTAGGTTTAATGTCAACACATTCACGTCTTAATTCATATTTTATGAATTTTTAATTGAACTTAATATAATTTTTTAATTTCAACTTGTTGATAGAATTTTTATTTGTATTAGTGTAATGTAAAAATTTATCTATCTATTTATAACTTATTTTGATTATTTTCTTAAGTTGAAATTCAAATTGTGATTATAAAAATTATAAATATTAAATGTTAAATTCTCCAATTGCCTTCTCACACATACCTGACCAGCCGATTGGGAAAATGATGAAATTAAATTCAGTCCAAAAATCATAAAATAAAATATTAATCTAACGACTGTGACTTTCTAAATTTGTATCAATAATTCCAACGAAGCGGACCCCTAACTAATTAAGACAACTGGACCAATTCACTTTGAAGTCATTTCAAGATAACATAAATATTAAAAATACTGAAAAGGAACTTTATTTATTTGTCATAATAATTGATGTATTAAAAAAAAAAAGAAAAAAAGGCGTTATATTAAATCAAACCTTAATGCTTTCCAACTACAAATATTAAAGAGAAAGGAAAAAGAAATTGTATTGCTTTTTTTTTTTTTTTGAGGTATTGTGAAAATGGGTTCTTTTTTGTCTAAACAGATGGAAAGAAGAAGAGCAATCAGTACTCAGAAGAAACTTCTTTGTGATCTCAAGGAGAAAGATAACACCGATTTCCCTGGTTGTGATCATTGCCCAGAAGATAGGAAAAATTGGATGTCAACACTTGCTCTCAATAAACTTCACGTGAATAAAATCGTTTGGCCTGGTACACATGATTCAGCAACTAACAAAATTGGGATTCCATTTATTTCTCGACCTTTTGCCCGAACACAATCCCTCTCCATTTACGATCAGCTGGTAATATTGAATTGTGTGATCATATCTTATTAAGTTATGTGATTATCGACTATTTTTTTATTTATTTAATTATGTTTTTGATAGGTAATGGGCACCCGTGTTCTTGACATCAGAGTTCAAAAAGATGGTCGTGTCTGTCATGGTATTCTAGTTTCTTACAACGTTGATGTTGTGATCAACGATGTGAAGAAATTCTTATCTGAGACCCAATCGGAGATCATAATTCTTGAGATCCGAACAGAGTTTGGGCACGATGATCCACCAGAATTCGACAAGTATTTAGAGAATCAATTGGGGGAATTTCTTATTCACCAAGACGACTCTGTTTTCAACAAGACAGTAGCAGAGTTATTGCCGAAAAGAGTAATATGTGTTTGGAAACCAAGAAAATCAGCTCAGCCAAAACATGGAAGTTCGTTGTGGAGCGCTGGGTATTTAAAGGACAATTGGATGGACACTGATTTGCCTGAAACAAAATTTGAGAGCAATATGAAGCATTTGAGTGAGCAACAACCGGTGACATCCCGGAAACATTTTTACAGAGTGGAGAATACGGTAACGCCTCAGGCAGACAATCCGGTGTTGTGTGTGAAACCGGTGACGAATCGGATTCGTCCACATGCTAGGTTGTTTATAAAGGAGTGTATTTGTCGAGGTTATGGTGATCGGTTACAAATATATTCTACAGATTTTATTGATGAAGATTTTGTGGATGCTTGTATTGGACTTACAAATGCAAGGATTGAAGGCAAGATCTGATGTCAAGGTCTTATTTCTTTCCTATTCCAGTTTACACGTTTGCTTCAAGAATATGAGAATTATCGTCTTGATTCCCTGTTTTCTTCAACAAAGAAAGTGATTTTTGAGGTAAGAATTATTAGTTGAGTGACCGTGTGAGAAGTCAGCTCGAGAATTAATTAGCTGTTGTATAATTATTGGGTGTAACTTGTCAGATTTATGTGCGTGTATGTATTGTATTGTTACCACTTGTTACTTTGTAAAAATTGCTTGGCTTGGAATTTGAGATTCTTATATGTAGTGAAATTGTGGGTAAACGAAATAATAGGTTAGTTGTACTGTAAGTCACATTGTTTGGAAGGATATGTATTTTACAATTTACGTATATTTGTAATTTTTCATTACTATTAGATTACTTAAAGAAAGGAATTACAAGTAAAGGTTCTTTAATAATGATATTATTAAGGACAACTTTCACATATAGCAAACACAAATTTATATTTGTATGTTATAACAAAGTTTGCATAATTTTGTTTCATAGCAAACATATATATATATGTATGATTCGCTATAGATATATACAATTAAAGGGAATTATATAAAACGAGAAAGAGAGAAATTATATACAATTTGAATTTATATAAAATGAGAAAGAGAAAGGCAAAAGAGACTTGGGCAAGAAAATATTTATATTGTATAATTACAAGTGTATGGACGATTATATACAATTTGAATTTGTATAAAATGAGAAAGAGAGAAAGACAACAAAGACTTGGACAGGGAATATACAATTAAATCGAATTGTATAAAACGAGAAAGAGATAAGTTATATACAATTTGAATTTGTATAAAATGAGAAAGAGATTTGGGCAGGGGAGTACTTTTATTATATAATTATAAGTGTATAGAACGAAAATATATGTATTTGCATGTGCATTATATAATTTTCTCTCGCTTTATACAATTAGAAACACAATTTATACAATTCTATTGTCTAAAGTGAGAAAGCCGAGCGACAGGAAGCGAGCGAGAGAAAGAGAATGGCGAGCGAGAATATGAAAGAGAGAGGAACTGACAAACAGTTTGCTATAGAACACAAATAAATTAAACGATAACTATTATATTTATTTTATATTATTTATTTATTATTCTATACCATCAACCCTATTAATAAACTGAAAAATAATATAGATATATGATATAACAAAGTCAAAATACACAATGCAGTTTCATGTGCCTATAATAGTACTGGCGTCGGTAAGAAGTGTGGTGCCGACTAATTTTACAACTTTGATCAGTGGTTATAATGAATATAAGTTAAATATAAAACATAAGAAAAAACAATATTCAAAAGTTTGTCTCAAAATGGAGTATTATATTTACATTTCTTGTCACTTTCCAATCAATCAATATATATATATATAAATGAGGACCACTGAGGAGGTGATGTGGCACCTCTATATGGCCTCTATTTGCATTTAGCTTTTTTCATCTTTTTTTTTTTT